ATAAAAATAATTGAAAGGGAAACCCCAGTTGGGGGTAGTAAGAAAACAGGAAACCACAAGCCTCTAACGCCATTATGTGGATTGGAGTTCATCCTCGTAATGGATGAACTCTGGACCACATTCATCCTCCCTCGGCCCAACCCAAGTGGGCAACAGTAAGTCTGGGCCGGCATCAGGCAGAGAAGGCTCTGTGTGTCTCACGGCACTTGGTCAGCCACGTGGGGTATTGCAAGGACCTGGGGTCTGAGCCCAGCTCTGCACTAACTCTGGCAGGACAAGCAGAAGTGGAGGAAGTAAGAAGAACTGGTCTAATTTAGAGATTTACAGTTTGGTGGTTGAGAATGTTGATACTGGGGCTGGGCTGTGCCTGGCTGAACCCAGCTCTGTCGCTTCTTAGCTTATGACCTTGAACGAGTTACTTAACATCTCTGTGCCTTGGTTGTCTCATCTATGAACTGAGACTAGTGAATATATTTATTGAGTAGTTATGAAAAGTAGATTAATTAATAAATTTAAAATAGTAAGCGCCATAAAAGTGTTTACTGCTGTTATTATTGTTATCATCATTACTGCAATGAATAATGGCCAAAGCTAGCCAACAAAGGCATGGGCTGTTCTGAAGCAGAGTACTCCCTGTCACCACAGGCGTAAGAGCAGAGCTGAGGTGTTGTAGGGTTTAGCTTGGGACCCTGAGTTTTCAGTGCTAGTGAGACGTCCAACTAGGCTTATTCAATATTATTCATTCTATTTATTTAATTCCACAAACATTTACTGAGCAGTTACTGTGTACCAGATATTGCGCTAGGTTCTGGAGATACTGGGATAAATCCGACGGTCTCAGCTCTCAAGGACCTGATAATCTAGTAAGGACAGCAGGTAGGTATCATCTCTGGTGAGGAAGTGCCACAAAATCAGCACAGATGAGGTTCATAAGCAGCCAGAGGAGGGAGTCAGGGCAGGATTCCTGGAAGAGGCAGTAAGAAGCAAGGTCCCCTGGGCCATATTCAGGGTCTGTGGAATGCAGAGTAGGGAAGCTCTGCTCTTGCTGGTCTGTGAGTGACAGGATTTTGGCATCCAGTGCTGTTAGCCATTTTTCCTAGGCCCTGTCCTTGGTTGAATCATTTGGGACCTCCCACTCCCTATTGCTTCTGGAAAGAAAATTCTTGTGAGTCTTTAAGATGTTTTCTAAATCCTTTTGCACACAGATTTTACTGACCAAGAGTCCAATATGTTTTTGCCTCAATCTCTTTATCTTTTGCTTCAGGGAGGTTGAAATCTCAGTTTCTCCCGAAGGAGGGTCAGTCACAGCCAAGAGAGACTGCATTTCCTGGATTACTAAAGCAATGCGGCTTACGTCAACAGCATCCGGCTAACTTCTGTGTCGCTGCATCCTTGTCCTAGACAGTTCCCTGTGTGGCATGCTCCTTTCCGCAGATGTTCTCCTGATGGGAATTCATGCCAACGATGTTCCAAGTGGCCACATTCAGGGGTAAAGCCCCAGGGAATCAGGGGAAACATAAAAATAAAAAAGGAAGCCACACACATGTACTGTTTACTCAGTAATAAAGACAAATGTGTTCACATCCTCTCATTGCGGGCAGCAATGCTCTTAGAGAGGAGGCCGTGTCAGGCAACGCTGCCAAGTTCCTCGTTCCCCTTCCTGGCTTCCATTCTTACCTGCCTGCTCTTTCTCAGGCTCTGCTCGGGGCTTCCAATTCTGTCTGTGCTTTGTTAATTACCCTTCTTTCAGCCGGGATCACAGTTGATCTGAGAGATGAGAGAGGTACAAAGCAAGAGGAGAGATGTGGTCATAGGTTTTTCCCGAGACTGAATCGGGAGAGGCAAGAACGCCTCCACTGGTCTATTCTCCTGGCCTGCTTTCCTTTTGTGCCCCCACCAAGGTGACTCACGCTGCTGCGCTCCGGGCAGGTCCTACAGCCTCTGTCGCTGTGTGGGATGTACAGATTGGGGCACGCACTCTTCCTTTCCCTAAAGGAGGAGTCTCTTTTCAGCTTGGTTGAGGCGTCAGCTAACAATTCAGACCCAGTAATTCGAAACTCACTAACAAAGGTCAGGAAGCCAAAAAGAGGGAGTTACCGGTAAAAGGAAACCGGACAGGTTATCAAGAGTTACAAAATACCAGCATCTCAGCTATGGTCCACGTCCTTCAGTATTCAAGCTTGCAGTGCTTTGTTGGGGAGGAGGTTCTAGGGGCGAATTAGGGAGAATTGTTACCTTGTCCTCCAGAAATATTGCAGAGCCTCAGAGACTCTTAGAGGTGCGTAGAGTCTAGAGGGGTCGTGTAGGGTGCTGGCTCTCAGAGTTTGCTGTCCATTAGAACTACGGTGGGGGCGGGGGATGGGTAGGAGGGTGCTCTACAAAATCCTGATGCCCAGATTCCCACCCTGACCAATGCCGTCAGAATCTCTGGGCGTGGAGTCTAAGCATCAGTGTTATTTAAACTCCCCAGATACTTCCAATGTGCAGCCAAATTTGAGAACCTGTGAACTGGACCCTTACTATTCAAAGTGTGGTTGCTGGAGCTGCAGCCCCACCAGGGAGCTTGTTAGAAATGCACCTCCTTTGGTCCCATCATAGACCTCCTGAATCAGAAAGTGCATTTCAACAAGATCACCGGGTGACTCCAATGTGCAGTTTGAGATGCAGTTACTTTTCTTGAAGCATCGGGCAATCCGGCAACAATGGGCCCAAAGTCTGTCTTTGCAACTACCCGGAGGAGTTGTGTAGTGGGTGTCCCCTTTAAAAGGGGCCCCCACACTCTAGTTTGCTGGAGTCCCACACCTGGCCAGGTGTATATTAACTTCCATTACCCGCCTGGGCCCAGTCATAATGTGGATTGTTTTAAAATGTATTATAAAATAAAGTTTGCCATTAGTAACATGTAATATATTCATAATGTTGTGCAGCTATCACCACTATCTAGTTCCAGAACATTTTCACTACCCCGAAAGGAAACCCCACGCTTATTCAACAGTCACTCCCCGGTCCCCTGTCCCCTCAGCTCCTGGCAACCACTATCGGCTGTCACTGTGAGTTTGCTTATTCTGAATGTTTCACGTAGAAAGAATGCATAGCGTTTTCAAGGTTCCCCCCTGTTGTAGCCTGTACAGTGCTTTCTTCCTTTCATGGCTCGTAGTATTCCTTCGCGTGGATATACCACATTGTTTATGTGTTCATCATTTGACGGCTATCTGTGTAGTTTCAATCTTTTGGTTATTGTGAATAGTACTGCTATGAACATTTGCCTGCAAGTTTTTGTTTGAACACCTGTTTCCAATTCTTTTGGGTATATACCCAGGAGTGGAATTGCTGACTCATATGGTAATTCTATGCTTAACTTTTTGAAGAATAGACAAACTGTTTTCTAAAGCAGCAGCATTTTACATTCCTATTAGCAAAGTATGTGGGTTCCAATTTCTCCACATCCTTGCCAACACTTGTATTTGTTTTTTTTTCTTAATTCTAGTTATCCTAAAGGATGTGAACTGGTGTCTCACTGTGATTTTGAAATGCATTTCCCTAACGACAAGTGGCGAATATCTTTTCATGCACTAGCTAGCCATTTGCCTATCTTCTTTAGAAAAATGTCTATTTAACTCCTTTGCTCATTTAAAAACTGGGTTATTTACCTTTTTTTTATTGAGTTATAAGAGCTCTTTATATGTTCTGGATACTAGCCTCTTTTTAGATATATGATTTGCAAGTACTTTCTTCCATTCTGTGAGTTGTCTTTTCACTTTCTTGATAGCGTTCTTTGATGCACAAAAGTTTTAAATTTTGATGAAGTCAAATTTATCTGATTTTTTGTTTTGTTGCTTGTGCTTTTGGTGTTATACGGAATTTGAGATTTTACCACCTAGACAAGATCAATGGATAGGGAGAAAGAAGGATCTGAGGAGAAAGAGAATAGTGATGGCTTGAGGTCTCTATCTCCAGTGCAAACAGAAGATCTGAGCATTTACCTGCTTTACATAAGCTTCTTCAGCTTACATATATACATATATATACACATATATATGTATATATTAGTGGAATATTTCTGAAGATTAGCTGAATATTAGTGGAAAGCTTCAGTGTGCCAGGTTGTTCTAAAAACTAGTCCTAAATGGTATATGTAGTAATTAGAACTTAACGTTTTCTGGTTTCAATTAAATTTTATTTGCAATAAAGAAAAAAACATACATTTTTGGAAAAGCATGCAATGTTTCTTTTCCTCCATTTGCCACTCTTTTGGGAAGTCAGAATTGGACCAAATCCAAATCCATTGTCTATTGGGTGGCAGGTCATCCACACTGAAAGAATATTCCATGGAAAAGATAGCCAAGCTCACTCATACCAGCCTTGGTACCAGGTGCTGTATTTGCCTGAGGCCACACAGCAAGACTTGAACCCAGATGTTCTCATTTCAAATCTAAGTCTCTGTCCCCCAGGCCATGCGTCCAAAGTCAAGTCGGATCATCATCTAGTGGTCTCTCTTGATTGGAACTACTATTACTACTAGCTGGCATCATTTTCGGAAGCTTTCTATGTGCCAGGCATTGTGCTGAAAGTCTTTACATCTAACTTTCCCAACGACCCTGGAAGTGATTCCGTAATTATCTTCATTTTATTACTGAACACACTGAACTCAGGTTAAATAACTTGTTCAAGGTCACGCAGATGCTAAGTGTCAGACTAGGACTTAACCCAGGTTGACTCCAAAGCTCATATTCTGAACCACCAAGCGAAACTATTATTTTAAAGATGACCAAGTCCTGAAAAACTATCTCTGCACCGACCCTCGTCCCAAATGTCAAGCAGGCAGGTATTCCCGGCCCTGACGCGTGCGCAGACTCCACCTACCTCCCCTCCCTTCCTCCCGTCCTCCTCAAATTGCGCAGGCGCGCTCCCCCTCCGAGGCTGCTGGGTGGAGCCAGCGCGGAGGCGGGGCCGGCGTCGGGCGGGGCCGTGGGGAATCGCGTCAGTGCGCCACTGCGCGTGCGCGGGGCCGGAGCCCTGGTCCTCAGAGGAGGCCGGCGATGGCGGCGGCCGGGGGTGCTTCGCCGGAGCCAGCGGCTGCGGAGCAGCCGGCGGAGCTGCCTGCCTCGGTGCGGGCGAGCATCGAGCGGAAGCGGCAGCGGGCGCTGATGCTGCGCCAGGCCCGGCTGGCGGCCCGGCCCTACCCGGGGGCGGCGGCGGCTGCGGCTACCGGAGGTTTGGGCCCTGGGCGGCGCCTGCCGCTTCCCTCTCCTGCGGGCCCGTGCCGCGTCGCGGCTGTGGCGTCTGCGCGCGGACCTTCCCGTCGTCCCAGGGGGGAATGTGCTCCGCGGGCCTTGTGGAAGCGGGCTGTCCAAGAGCCCGGGCGATTCCGCGTAGACCCAGGCCTCCCGGCCCCGGGCCGGCCTCCCTCCCCCGGGCGGTCCCTGCGGTCCCCTGCGTGGGGATGCAGCGCCCTCGCCGCCGGGAGGTGCCGGGCAGTGCCGGCCGGCGCCTCAGCCTGCCTTCCGGTTCTCTTCCCGCAGCGCCCCACGGGCCCCAGGGTGGCCCTTGTACACAGCTCGTGGACTTGTGACTCGTTCAGTAGTAATCCTGCCCCTGCTCCCTCGCCGTGCATTCAGCAGGCGGCGATTGAGTGCATATTCCGTGCTGGCACAGTGCTTGCTCGTGCTGGGCGTCCCGAGGAGCAGCCGGACGTTAGCTACGGCCTTCGTGGGCTGACAGTAGCACCTGGTGTGCTTCACATTTTTCAGATTAGCTAGTTTGATTCTCACAGCTAACGTGGAAAATAATTAGGGCAGAGTTGCATATCCGTGTGTCACTGCGGTGGTAATTGAGGACCGGAAAAGGAAGGGGGTTTGCTCAGGTTCATCCCAGCAAGTGCACAGGCTCATCGCGGCCAGAACTCAGGTCATTGACATTGGGTTCACGGCCTTTCCTTGCCCCCGGCTACCTCTGCTGTACTGGCATCTCTCACCCTTGGGAAGAAAGGCTTTTATTCTTGTGTCTGGATCCTCTTGTCTGAATTTCGTCTTTCCCTTCTCTCAGGGCAGCTCTTAGCTGCCTGTCTGTCATGTATTTGTGTACGTACGTATGCGTATATGTATCTACCTATCATGAAATTCTCCGCTGGGGTCAAGCAGTAATCTCCCTGGAGTACCTAAAATATCGTTAGGTTGACACGCAGTTCTTCAGGATTGCCTCTACGACTTGAGGCACATGTGTTCCTAAAGCTGTATCTTATACTGTGTGAATAGTTGAGCATGGTTCAGAGCTGTGCATGCGCTACCCCTTTTCGTCAGCCAGAAGTAGGGCAGCGTGAGAAGAGTCTGAGACTGGCTGCATGTCTTTATACTCATACTGACACTGATTCTGCAAGTTCCAGCCACCTTTTTTTTTTTTTTTAAAGATTGGCCCTGAGCTAACATCTGTTTCCAATCTTTTTATTTTCTTCTCCCAAAAGCCCCCCAGTACATAGTTGTATATTCTAGTTTTGAGTGCCTCTGGTTGTGCCATTTGGGACACCAGCACAGCATGGCCTGATGAGCGGTGCCACGTCTGGGACCGGGATCCGAACCGATGAAATCCTGGACTGCGGAAGTGGAACATGCAAACTTAACTATGCGGCCACGGGGCAGCCCCTCCAGCCACTTTTACTGGTTCTCATCTTTTCTGCTTTCTAGTGGTTTTCTTTTTTTCCTGTCTCAATTTGAGGCATTCTGGAGTCAGGACTGAAAATTGTTTGTTTGCATTGATTAATTCATATTCATGCTTCCATAATGGTTTCTAGATCTGTACTAAATGGCTGTGGAACAGGGGTGCAAAGTAGAGCATAAACTGGTATTAAACTTCTGATCATGGAAAGCAAGGTAGATTGAATGTTCTGTAAGATTTCTTAGGCAGTTACCCGAGAACTGAACCGTGTTGTAGCATTGCATATGCTTACTGTCTTTGAGAGTTAGGTGGGTGCTGAGATTTTTATCTTTGCAGTACTTTTATTTCAATGTACTGTATAATTTTCATGTTCTGTGTGTGCTGTGACATTTGCCATGCAAAAGACTGAGAAGAACCTGCTTAGAATGTGGTGCTAAGGGTCTGGGGAAACATAGCAGCAGACAGAAATTGGGCTTTGTTTTTGGCATGAGTTAGCATTGTTCAGGATCCTGCTCAAGTTATAGCCTTGACTGCACCAGCTTCTCTTTTTTTCTTGCTGAGGAGGATTAGCCCTGAGCTAACATCTGTGCCAACCTTCCTCTACTTTATATGTGGGTCACTGCCACAGGGCGGATGACGAGTGGTGTAGGTCCACACCTGGGAACCACACCTGGGAACCAAACCTGTGAACTTAGGCTGCCAAAGTGTAGCACGCCAAACTTAACCACTAGGCCACAGGGCCAGCCCCTCCAGCTTTCCTCTTAATTCTCATTGCCCTCACAGTCATTCCGGTCATCTGCTACACTATTCGTGAAGTCAATATTCTGGTAGATTCATTCTCTTTCTATCCATCCAGTGGCTATTCATGGAATGCCTAACTGTTTCTTAGAACTAGAGATAAAAGCACTGTCTATTGGAGGGATAGAGAGAGATGAGCAGGCAATAGAGGGTAGAGTATGAGAACTGCTGTTGACAGTAGAAACAGGCATCTTATCTAATCCCTTTATTTAACAGAGGAAGAAATTGAGGCCAGAGAATGGGAGTAACTTAAGCAAGATGATACATATTAAATTTCTTTTTTTCAAAAATGACTTATAACATGCATTAACATGTAAAATGCACTCGTCTGAATTTTACCTCTGTAAATGCTCATGTGAACACCACTGCGATCAACATAGACACATTTTCAGAACGTTAGAAGGTTCCATAATGGCACTTCCTAGTCAGCTTCCCACACTCAGAAGTTCCTACTGTTCTGACCGTTTGGTTAGGATTATCTTCTTTTGAACTTCCTGTCAATGGAATCGTGCAATGTCTGGCTGCTTCTGCTCGACGTGATATATAAGAGATTCATCCACGTTGTTGCATGTGGTGGTAGTTTGTTTATCTGTAATATTCTTTCATATTGTTAGACCACAGTTTTTCCATTTTCCCTTTGATGGCTATTTGAGTTTGCAGTTTGGGGGCATTATGAAGAAGACCTGTGCGAGCATTCTTGTGTATGTCTTTTGGTGGACATGTGCACTCATCTCTATTGTGTATATGCCTAGAGATGGAATCGCTGGGTCGTAGGGGAGGTGTGTGTTTAGCTTTAGTAGATATTGCCACACAGTGATTGTAGCAGTTTAAAATCTCACCAGCAACATATGAGAGTTCCGGTACTCCACATCCTCACCATTTGATATTGTCAGTCTTTTTTATTTTGGGTATTCTGGTAGGAGTGTAGTGATACTTCATTATGGTTGTAAGTTGTATTTTCCCAATGACTAATGATGGTGAGAACTTTTTCATGTCCTTACTGGCTATTTGGATATCCTCATTTGTGAAATCCCTATTCAGATCTTTTGCTTGTTTTTTTTTTTTTAATGTTGGGTTGTCTTTCACTGATATATAGGATTTCATTACGTATTCTGGGTATAGTCCTTTGTCAGATAGACATGTTGCAAATAGCTTCTCCCAGTTTGCATCCTGTCTTTTCACTTTCATAATGGTGTCTTGTGATGAACAGAAGTTCTTATTTAATCAAGGACAGTTTAGCAATTTTTTCTCTTATGGTTAGTACTTTTTGTGTCCTGTTTAAGAAATTTTTGGCTACCTGAAGTTCTTGAACTTATTCTCCTATGTTTTCTTCTAGAAGCTATATTGTTTTAACTTTCACATTCAAGACTATGATCCATTTAAAATTTTTTTGTCTATATTATATGAAGTAAGGTCAAAGTTCATTTATTGAAAAGACCGTCTTTTTCTCACTGTTTTGTAGTGGCACCTTTATCATAAATCCCAGCACTATTTATTGAAAAGATTATCTTTTTCCCATTGAATTGCCTTGGAGCCTTTGCTATAAATTAAATGACCAAATATGTGTAGGTCTATTTCAGGACTCTCTCTTCTATTCCATTGGTCTCTTTGTGTCAGTTCCACAATGTCTTTAATTGCTGAAGCTTTACAGTAAATCTTTAAATCTGGCAGTGTAAATCCTCCAATTTTGTTCTTCAAGGTTATCTTGGCTGTTCTACATTCTTTGTATTTACATATACATGTTAGAATCAGCTTTTCTGCTCCTACCTCACCCCCCTCCCTACCGACCCCCACAACCGTTGGGGTTTTGACTGGGATCACATTGAATCTTTAGATAAATTTGGGGAGAATTGACATCTTTACAATATCGAGGCTTCCAGTCTGTACCTGGTGTACTTCTCCATTTATTTAAGTCTTTGATTTCTCTTAGTGGTGTTTTCAGTGTGGAGGTTTTACACCTCTCTTCCTAGGTGTTATTTCTTAATTTTAATTGTAGCTTCTTGTGGCCATCCTACATACGTAATCACATGATCTGTGGCTAAAGACCCTTTTACTTCTTCCCCGCATTTATGCCTGTTGTTTTCTTGCCATGTTACACTAGCTGGGACCTTCAGTGTAACGTTGGATAGAAATGGTAATAGTGCACATCCTTGTCTTGTTTGATATATATGAAATTTGAACAGAGTTCCTGTTTATGCACAAGGGAACATATGGGCTCACCTAGTTCAATTGTTGACCACTTTTTTTTGTTAATGATGCTTTATTTCACCCATTCGTTTCTGTTTGTTTGCTTTTTCCTTCTTCTTCTCTCCTAAGCTCCCCGGTACATAGTTGTATATTTTAGTTGTGAGTGCTTCTGGTTGTGGTATGTGGGATGCCGCTTCATCATGGCCTGATGAGTGGTGCTATGTCTGTGCCCAGATCTGCACTGGCAAAACCCCAGGCTGCTGAAGCGGAGCGCGAGAACTTAACCACTGGGCCACGGGGCCAGCCCCAGTTGTTGACCACTTTTACTTACTTTTTGTAGGTATGGCTAATGTAAAAGCAGCTCCAAAGATAATTGACACAGGAGGAGGCTTCATTCTGGAAGAGGAAGAAGAAGAAGAACATACAATTGAAAAAGTCATTCATCAACCAGGTAAAGTGTGTTTTCGGAAAATTAGTATCTAGATTGATCATTTTGAGTGACACGCATAATTCTTTGCAAGGTGATGTTAAATAATGCCACACTTATTTTAGTCAGTGAGCAGATTAGTTTTATAAGAGTGATAAAGTTTGGCAGCTTTGCTAGCAGATTAAAAATTAAACAGATTAGGCAATGATTAATTTAACTTGTGGTTTGTGTACTTAGGTTGACACTCTCTGTTGTTTTATAATGGCCAGGGACAGCCAATATATTGACTGATAGAATAAACACTCAAAATCATTTTGATAGGTTGAAATGAGGAGCTAGAACCCAAGAGATAAAATTTAGAACATTCTTTTATTTACATTTGGAGGAAAAAGTGGTTTACAAAGTATAAGATAGGGAGACCTGGCATAAAAAGAATATAATATTATTTAAGGTTAAAGTTTTGGTAAATCACTTAGACATATATATTCTCTGGGTGAGGATACTTTCACACTCTTTGAAAAAGATGGTTTTATTTGATCGTAAGTTTTATAGCCAATAGTGTAATATAACAGCTTAAAAAACCCACTCCAGTTTCAGCCGCAGCACCGGAAGTGTTGTGTATTCATCAAGGTTGGCAATAGTCCTGTTCTATTCTGTGTGTGTCTAAACTGTTGTTTTCAGAAGCTGACACTTGAAGGACTAAAATATTTTTCAGTTTGGGTGCCATATTTTAAGAGGAATATGGACATGGACAAGTGTACAGGCCCAAAACAAGGTTGTCAAAATGGACATCTTGAAATTGACATGTGAGGAACAGTTGTCAAAGCCGGTCAGATTTAACTTGAGAACACTTCCAGCTGCCTGCTAATGCAAGAGTCATCGACCTAAACACTGGCTAGGAGAACTTCAGACTTACTGAGAGAGCCAGTTGTGTAGGATCAAGATCTTTAGCGAGGTATTTGAAGTCCTTAAAAATATCTAGCTTTGCCCTACCTGGAGTAGTTTCTTTGCTGGTGTTGAGGATGTGTAGCTAAGGACAGTCTCTCCTCTCCAGAAGTTTACAACCCAGTGGCTGAGACAGATGAAGAGGAGGAAGCTATTGGCTCTGTTGGTAGTCGGTGGGACAGAGGGAGAGAAAAAGTTTCCCATTTGAAAGTGCATTCTGTCTTTTCTCTCCTCTACTGTTGCCTTGTTCTTTACTGCTTTTTTCTGTGTTATGTGTTAGTGCCTGTCTCCCCTGTCTGTGAACACCTGGGACTAATCTCCCTCATACTCTCAGCAGTGCTGTGGTAGGCTGAATAACGGCCCCCAAACATGTCCACATCCTAATCAGCCTGGAACCCGTGAATATCTTACCTTACATAGTCAAAGGGACTTTGCAGATATGATTAAGCTTAAAGACGTAGAGATGGGGAGATACTCTGGATTATCTAGGCAGGCCCAGTGTAATCACAAGGATCCTTAAAAGTAGAAGAGAGAGGCAGAAGGTGCGGGGGATGTATTATGGAAGAAGCCAGAGTGATGTGAGAAGCTGCTGTTGCTGGCTTTGAAGCTGGAGAAAGGAAGTCATGAGTCAGGGGTTGCAGGCAGCCCCCAGAAGCTGGAAATGGCAAGGTCATAGATTTTCCCCTAGAACCTCCAGAAGGGAGGCGGCCCTGCCGACACTTGACTTTAGCCCCCTGAGACCTTTGTCACACTTACAAAGTGGGACCTGTAAGATAATAAACTTGTGTTATTCTAGCCACTAAACTGGTGGCAATTTGTTACGGCAGCAAAACAAGTCTAACACAAGCACCTTAATGTGGTTTGTGTTCAAGTACTTGATGAGTTGGTAGTTTTTTTCCTTTATATTACTTCCTTTTTCTTTTTTCCTCTTAAAAAATGTTTTTAGATAAATATAAGATTAGTTAATCACAGTTTTGTCTTTTATGTAAGTGTATTTGTGTCAGGCATAAAATACCTGCCAGTAAGCTAATAAAATAGAGAAAACTGTATTGTTCTGGTGCCGAAAAGGAAACGTAAAGACTTGCTCTTCCTTCCTTCAGGACCCGTTATGGAGTTTGATTATACGATATGTGAAGAATGTGGTAAAGAGTTTATGGATTCTTACCTGATGAACCACTTTGATTTGGCAACTTGTGACAACTGCAGGTACTTCTTTTATTTCAGACAATGTTCTCAATTGCTCAAGTTTAATGTTTGCATATAGGTTTAGGGCAAAACAATAATTCGATGCATTTGGGTTTAACATTTTCTTAGTAATTATGATTTTTGTCTTGGGAGTTTCCTAAAATTTCTGTGGTTTTTATTTGCCAAAGAAATAACAGGAAGCCTGTGCATATCAAAGTTATGATAGGCCACATTAATAGGAAGGATGCCCCTGCCTCTGCCATAGTCCTTTCCTTTCTGCTGGCCTGGGTGGGTTGGTTGGTTGGTTTGTTTTTACCATCTCTCAGTAGCAGGTTCCTAACCCTGCCCTTCCTCCAGCCCCTGAGGATCTCCCTGTTTCTGACTTACTCCTGTGTGTGTTGACACCTTGGTCAGAGGACTGGGGCCTTCAGTGAGAGGAGGGGGTGAAAGCTGTCCAGCTACTCCTCTGGGATTCCCCAAACGCTTCTTTCCCTTCATTTTTCACTCTCCTGAACAGGCAGGGAAGAGAATAAATGAGGGAAAAATCACATTCTTCTGTCATTCTTTTTCTTCTTCACCTAGACTTTATCTTCTTTTTATATCACCCCAGAATAATCCTTCTCACTCCACGTGGTTCTCCTGTCCCTACTGTTTACCTCAGCCAAGTCCTGTGTTGGGGTCTTTCACACCTCAGATCCTCTCTTGGATTCTTACCTAGCCCTCTTATCTGTTCCCTGTTTCCACTTCTTGTACCTCGAGCCCTAGATCAACTCCTCACCTGCCTGGAGGACCTGCTGTTTCAGAGTTCCTGCTGCAGACATTGGGGGCATCACCATCGACTTGTTGCTGAGTAGGATCTTTAGAAGATAGAATGGGAGATGTCTCTGGTCTCCTGATCAGATCTGTAACTGGAAATGCTCTGGCACCCATTGGAATTATAAATCATCAACTCTATTCCCATCGACACACAATGTCATTGATGTACACAGTAGTTGAGGTCCACAGTATTCTTGTTCTCCTTAAAGTACAGATAGCTTTTGGGAACTGAATTTCCACATATAATCTTTTTTCCATGAGAAAATGGAAGCAACTGATGTATCAATTTAAAGAAAGTTGTGTAGTGGTCTGGAAAAAATATACTTCTTAAATTTAAACATAATTAGGAACACAGCCCTCCATTCTGTTTCCTTTTGACATCTTCAAAGATTATAATTTAGGTACAGTGTAGTTTACCTGTCCCCTCTTTTAGTTTATACTTCCAAATTATTTAACTTTCTTAAAGTTATTCCCAATTTTAAGTCTCTTCTCCCTGCACTATACCTCCTCTTCAGTATTCACCATTTCAGTAAAGGCCAAGTTCATTCATTGGCTGTTTCTCGTCTATCCCATGTTTAATTCCAGGTCCGTTTGTCTGTTCAAATCATATTCTAAACCCATCCACTTTTCACGCTGTGTCCCGCTGCTTACCACCTCACACTAGCCCACCATCAGCTCCTGCCTGGACCACCAGAGTAGTAGTCTTCTAACTGGTCTCCTCCCCCTACTTTTGCACCGTTAGTCTCTCCTGCATATAGCATTTTACTCAAAACTCTTTAATGGTTTCTAATCCATTTAGAATAAAGTTGTCTTCATCATTGCTTACAAGGCCTCTGCTTGTCTCTGACTTTACTTCCCATCACTCCTCACCATCCCTTAAAGCGTTCTAGTCACACTGGCCCTCTAGCTGTGAGCTCCAGTTCCAAAGCACACTCCTGCCCTCAAGTCTTGGCACTTGCTGTTCTCTCTGCTAGGAATGTTCTTTCTCAGCTATTCAGAATGTGCTCTGGCTTCTTAAGGGCCCCACACAAATGTCCCCTCATCAGTGGCCGTCTCTGATTACCCAGTCTATCTGAGAAATTTTTCTTTTTAAAGCTTTTTTTCTTTTAAAGACTGGCACCTGAGCTAACAACCGTTGCCAATCTTTTTTTTTTTTTCTTCCTGCTTTATCTCCCCAAACCCCCCCGTACATAGTTGTATATCTTAGTTGTGGGTCCTTCCAGTTGTGGCATGTGGGACGCCGCCTCAGCGTGACCTGACGAGCAGTGCCATGTCCGTGCCCAGGATCCAAACCCTGGGCCGCCGCAGCGGAGCATGCAAACTTAACCACTCGGCCACGGGGCCGGCCCCTATCTGAGAATTTCTATTCCTTTACCATGCTTTTATTCCTTTATAGCACTTTTATCTGTCATTATGTTTATTTATTGGCTGTCTTCTAACTAGAATGTAAGCTTCATGAAAACAGGCTTTGTTTTATTCTTTGTTGTATTCCTAGTGCCTTGAACAGTAGCTGGCATGTAGATGGAAAACAAATGAATGAGGAGAACTATGTAATTTACTCTGTCTCCATTTTTGCCTTGGGTTCGAAAAAGCTTAGAGCCACCTGGAAATTTGCTGTGTTGGGGCAGTTGGACCTTGCGTATTTATATTCCTTATATCCTGCCCATCCTGATTTTCTGCTTTAATTTATATTTTCTTACTCACTGAGTCTTAGTTCTCATTTATATTTGCTGTACTCTTATAAGTCCTTTCAAATCCTTTATGAAAAGAGGGACTTTAAATAAGTAGAGAAGAAATTCTTCAAATGTGAAATGACGTGGATCTTCTGCTGATATAACTTCTCAGAATAAGTAAAAGAGAAAGTATTTTTTGTTAGAATTTTTGTGCTGCAAATTTGACTAGAATAGGCAGGAAGAGTTGTCAGAAAAGTATTTTATATGTTCCTTTTGGCATGCATGCCCCTAGGTTGTTGGGCTATTTGAAAACTTAGTTTATTTGAAATAACTAACTTATATAATGGGCTTAATTTGTTTTCAGAGATGCTGATGATAAACATAAGCTTATAACTAAAACAGAAGCAAAACAAGAATACCTTCTGAAAGACTGTGATTTAGAAAAAAGAGAACCAGCTCTTAAATTTATTGTGAAGAAGAATCCTCATCATTCACAGTGGGGTGATATGAAACTCTACTTAAAATTACAGGTCTCTAACAAGTTATATTCAGTCATTTTAAACTCTGGGTCAGGTGAAGTTTTAAAAATGAACTCATTATAATTAGTTTTCGCTTACAGAGAGTAAAAAGCTCCCTTTCATTTTGTTGTTTTACATGAGTCATAGTCATACATAATGACATTTAGTAATATGTTTTCTTATTTTGCTTTTTGGTGTGGCACTTTGGAGCAAATATGGCACCATTGGGTGATGTTAGTACAGTTCAGAAACTAAGAGAGCTTGGAGTAAGAGTCGGTCCTCGTTTCCCTGCACATCCATCCACTCTCCAAAGAAAATCTAAAAAACAAGTTGAAGAATTTCACAAATGCCTGAAATCTCACTCCACCTGGGAAATGCTCATCTGGAAGCCTGTCGAGTGCCCGTGTGACTCTAGTGTGTCTCCGAGCAGATCTCCACCCCTCTTGCTGCAGTTGTGTTAGAGGTGTGCTGAGTGTTACCCCCTGAGCGCCTCGGGCGGCCGGAGTGCTCAGGATGCTGCTGAGTCACAAGCAGCCTCCTGTGTCTAGCCCAGAATGGTACACATAATATTCTTTTTGCGCCATTACATAAAAAATATTGGGAGGCATTGCTTTAGAGCACAGTTTGAATTAGAATATATGAGAAAGTACTAGTATCTTCAGATAAAATTAAGAAGCCACATTGTAAAATCAAACACATACTGAATTTCATTAAATATAAGATGCTATCAATTAGAAGATTCATGTGAAAACAATGAATCAGAGAAACAGTTACAGTCAGAGGACAGCTTTCCTCTTTACAATCAAATTCAGCATACATTTCCTGATGGTTTCATAGGTTTGCATAGAGGGATTATTAGAGTTGGTTCTTATCAATATTTAAAATCTTTTAAATTTCAAATATTTATAAAATTGCACTTGAATTAGATCATTCTTTGGTGCCTGTGGAATTAATAATTATAACTTTATAATATTTTACAACTCTGAATCACAACTAATTTAAACATGGATTCTGTGTTGTAGATTGTGAAAAGGTCTCTTGAAGTTTGGGGTAGTCAGGAAGCATTAGAAGAAGCAAAGGAAGTTCGACAGGAAAACCGAGAAAAAATGAAACAGAAGAAGTTTGACAAAAAAGTAAAAGGTAAGAGGCTACATTAATGTGATGGACTGTGTTTTACTGCTGAAAGCCTTTAGCTAAGTTCTTCCTGTTTAAAGATAGGATGTCATCAATAGATTGGAATTTTTTTTTTCATAGATTGAAGAAAAAAAGACTTAGGTTTGCTCTTAGTAGGTTGGCGTTTGAGCTGTCAGTGCAAACCTCACGGTACTGCAATTCTAAGAGGCATGTAAGCGCTCATCCTAAAGTGCATCATAGTTTTATATAGGAACAATGGTAGGATCAGGGATGGATCCCTGGTCAAGGATTTGGCATCAGTTCAATCTTAAATAGGACCAATAATGTTATAAAAAGCAAAGATATCCACCAGCAAACCTCTCCAATTGCTTAAAATGAAAAAATCATGCCTAAGTCTTAGTCATCTAATTTAGCAGTTAGAAGAAACCTTCTAGTGTCAGCTAGTCTAATCACTTTTATTTTATATATGAATAAAAGACAAAGAAAGGTAGAGTGACTCGTTATATAGATAGTTATGAGAGAGTTGGCACTGGAACCAGCCTTTCATGTCTGAAAGTCTGCAAGGTACATTCCTCCTTCTGTCCATACCTCTGTCTATCCACGTGACTATCATTCCTTTGTCCATGTGTCTCTGTATTTATTCGTCTGTGCATCCATCCACGTGCGCCTATGTGCGTAAGTCTGTCCATTCATCCACCCATCCATCAACACATCCACTAATTCCTGAGTGTCAGCTATGTTCCAGGCACTGTGCGAACATCAGTGCTGGAGTCGTAGCTTGTCAGAAGAGAAGGACTGGTACACTTAAAGTCATAATAGCGTGTAGTAAGTATTGTGATAGTGATGGACACAGGGCGCTGCAGGAGCACAAAGAGCACTTTTTCCTATATCACAGAATCCCTAAAAAGAGTCTTAAAAAGTAGGCATGGGTGTTTTTCATAAAGTAACTGTAGAGTGCCAGTGTGGTGTAAAGTATATGTAGGTAGCACCTATTTTATGCATATACAGGGTTCTACATATACTAAATGGATCCATTTAAAAAGAGTGTCTTAACCATAATAAATACTTTCGCTTATGTTTTTAGGATTTAGAAGAGGTTTTGGAGGGTGAAAGAAGATAGCTCAGATGTCTTAACAAATGAAAAACCAAAAAAAAAAGGAAAATTGAGTGTAAGCCTGCCTTGTTTCTTCTTTGTGAGGGGATTTCCCCCCCTTTTCATTACTAAAGTAATTCAGGTGCAGTGAAGAAAAGTTAGAAAACTACAAAGAACTTCTACTCTATGATTCTACTGTAGAGACAATCGATAGTAACATTTTAATGTCTGGTTTTTCAGTTCTTTTCTATGGACAGACCCTTTAGAAATATTTTTTATAAAAATGGAAGTACTGTTGGACATTTTTGAAGGTTATCAAGACAAGCCTGTGATAAACATCTTTATAGGCATCCTTATATAAGTTAGAGTTACTTAAGATATCAATGCCTAACTCAGAGGGTAGGCACACTTTATGTGGAGAGGTTTCCTATAGCAAACTATGCCATAGAAGAGCGTTTCATTGAAGAGTCTTTCCAAAGTGAGCCACTGCTGCACTGCTGCCTTCAAAAATTCTTGCAAGAACCACCTGAGAGGATTTGGAAAGACTTCATTTGAATTTGGTCCTTTTCTTTCATCTTTTTGTTGTTCTACCCCAGCCCTTCCTCTCTTCCAACATCAAGGAAAGCCTTGAAGGATAAAGTAACAAAAAGCATCTTAAGGGTGTGAGAGAAGAGGGCATATTTAGAGGGTCATTCCCTATGAGCCTAGGGTTTCGTTAGCCTCAGCTGCCTGCCCCACCTCAGTACTTCCCCTCTCTGCCGCCGTAAACCACTTTCCTGGTGGCGTTGTGGTACACACACAAATACATGGATAAAAGAACTAGAAACTTGTACCTGCAAAGTGAGGAAACATTTCAAGAAGGAAGGCTATCTGTAATTTTTTATTAGATAGTATTTCTGTAGTTTGGTCAAGACGTCATCTGAAGGTGACTAAATTCCTATGACTTGACTAACAATAAAAGATTATGGCATCTGTTTTATGCTTTTTTCTTTAAAAATTCTATTAAGGGAATATAGATGAAATGTTAGTATGAGTAAAATGTTTCTTTTAAGATTTACACAATTTTTATAGGTATTTTAAAAGAAATATAAACTCAGATATAATTGGCTGTTCTCACTCTACTGTCATGCATCACTTAACGACAGGGATACGTTCTGAGAAATGTGTCGTTAGGCAATTTCATTGTTGCGTGAACCTCAAAGCCTGCACTTACACAAACCTAGATGCTATGGCCTACTGCACACCTCAGCTCTGTGCTACTGATCTTACGGGACCACCAGTGTACATGCGCTTGGTTGTTGACCAAAATGTCGTTATGCGGCACGTGACTGCATTAAATTGCTGCTATTAATCACGAGTTAAGCTACTATAGATTTTCCTCATCCTTGAGGAATTCAAATTTACTCTGAATTTTTTTCTCAGAACTTTTTTTGGAATTTTTTCCACAAGACTGGTTTCTTTAAGTTCATTTCTTGTTGGGATGAAGCATGTCTTTTGAGGAAATTTTTCCCGGTGGTTACATGAGTGGTATATTTTCTAAGTCCCTACAAATTTAAGAATGTTTTTCTGTTTCTTCTGCATGTGAAAACCTGAGTTCTCTCTCAGTTGTATAGACATTACTCCATTGTCTTCTGGTGTGTAATGTGCGAGGTCAAAGCGATGCCTTCTTTAATTATGGCTTCTTCTCGTTGATTTACTTTAGAGGTTGGTGGATATGCTCCTGTCCTCCTGAATAGGCCACAAAGGGCTGAGAGTGGAGGAGACACTGTAGAGAGTAGAAACAAGGAGCTTACTATGCAGTTTGCCCAGAAGGCTCAGGACAGAGGGCAGTAAAAGCAAGTCTAAACGTTTTTTAGTTGAAAAGAAATTGGAACCTGGTTCCTCTTGGTCTTCTGATTTTGATCCACAAAGAAGCTGACACAAAGTTTACTTCTTTATGGAAAGGTAAGAGATTACATTTACCTGCTTTTAGAATATGATCTACTTTAGCAATTTGAGAAAGAATTGATCTTACTATAGAAGAAAATTATCAATAGTGTAAGATATAAAAATATAGACAAGGTGAAAGACAAGAAAGAACTTTCTTGTCAGCAAATTCAAATTGTTCTAGAGCTCTTAGATCCCAGAAGGCAGAAGTAGAGATGACGGCATCGCTGCTGCCCGGTTTACCTGGAGTTCAAAAAATGCACTATGTGTTGGCTTTGATATTGGATGGGAACTTTCCATAGTGCAAATACACAGAACGTCTTGGGTTTGCATGCCTCCTTTCCACAAATAAGGTGGAGATAGGGTTTTTCTTTAAAAGTTATAGGGTAGTCCCCCATATCCAGTGGAAGTCTGAAACCAAGGATAGTACTGAACCCTATCTATACGACGTTTTCTTCCTATACATACATACCATGATAAAGTTTAATTTATAAATTAGGCACGGTAAGAAAGTAACAATAACTGATAATACAATAGAACAATTATAACAGTATTCTGTAATAAAATTTACATGAATGTGGTCTCTCTCTCAAAGTATCTTACTGCATTGTACTCACCCTTCTTGTGATGATGTGAGATGATACAGTGCCTAGGTGATGAGATGAAGTGGGCGGAATGATGTAGGCATCGTGACGTAGCTTTAGGCTACTCTTGACCTTCTGAGGAGATGTCAAGGAGGATGATCCAGCTATGATGATGTCGGTGGTTGAATGTCAAGAGCAGACACTGTTGATGGTTGGGGATCCAACAAAGGGTGATTCACGTCCTGGGAGGGATGGAGGGCCACGGTGCATGAGATTGCATCCTGCTACTCAGCAGCACACAATTTAAAACTTAGAGTTTATTTCTGGAATTTTCCATTTAATATTTTTGGACTGCACTTGACCACTGGTAACTGAAACTGCAGAAATTAAAACCCAGATAAGGGGGAACTACCGTACTCAGCTTTCTCTTAGTACTGGTAGAGGTTTAGCCTTCTAAAAAAACGGAAAATTAATCTTCATTGTTTGTTACTCTGCACTTTTCCCACCAAAAGAAGTGGGTAAGAAAATCCTATTTTGGGGGCCCTTCTGAGTTTGTGGACATTTCACGTCCTGGGCCTGTGGTTGTATTTATGACTGTTTTCAGGCTTCTCTCGGAGAGTGTGAAGGACACAGCTTCCTGTTGCTCTGCTTCAGTTTATGGAGGACAAAGTCAGAGCAAAGCATCACGTGTTCCTTTGTCATTTCCTTGTGACTTTTCCTGTGTCACACTGCCCGCCCTCCCATCAGGTATTTAGGGGCATCTGGTCTCCCTCAGCTAGTTCTCTGATAAGTTTACCTCATGAGCAGCATTGGGCTTCTGTGAATACAGGCTGCCTCTTTTGCAAAATGAAGATATTAAGCCAAATAAAGTGCAAGTTTTAGAGGGTATAAAATAAATTTTTCACTGAAACACAAGGATTTACGGGAAATTTTTTTTTTAATTCTTAACTTCTTTGGGTAAAAGGTATAAGCAGTCTCTAAAGATATCGTTAGCAAGACTGGTTGCCATGAACATTGTTACAAATTTCCAGGAGAGGCAGTCCCCAGCTTTCCGGGTTGTGAAATTCTCGGCTAGTGGGGCTCGGAGGATGTAACACGGTGGCCCACTCTTTGGCTCTCTGGCTTCAGGGCCGCTTGGCTCCACCCTCCCAGCCCAGGGCTTCCTCAGCTCTCCAGGGCCTGTCACCCTTTCTTCCACTCCTCTGAAGTCTCTGACCTTTCTGCCTTCCTCTTCTCATTCTTAGCAGTAGGTAGTTGATCTCTACTTTACAGTTTTAAGTGCTTAAATGAAGTAATGTGAAAAACTTTTTAATCTTTATTTAAACAAATCTGTGATTTCACCAGATGTTGACATTTTGCCAGTTTGCTTTTCTCTCATTCATACACACGTTTTGCTGCAGCATTTAAAGTTAACATTGCAAACATTGTGATTCTTATCAATACTTCATGTTCTCTCCTAAAAACAATGACATTCTTCTACATAACTAAAAGACGATGACACTCGATAAATTTAACATTCCTGTAATGCTGTTATCTAGTATATAATCTATATTTATCTTTCCCCACTTGTTCCAGTGTCCTTTATTAGTTGTTGGATCCAGGGGCCAGTCAAGGATGATGCGTATCTCGCCTCTTCTTCTTTAGCCTTTTTATCTTTCATGATGTTGGCATTTTTGAAGAGTCCAGGCCACCTGTTTTGCGGGACGTCCTTCCATTTGGATTTATTAGCAGCTTTTTTCCTCACGATTAGATTCAGGTCAGACATCTGTGGTAGGAATACTTGCTGGTGGTGTGTCCGAGTGCGTCATGTCAGGAGACACGGGTGTCAGTTCTCCTCTGAGAGACAGTCCATTTGACTGCTTCATTAAGGCCGTGTCCGCCACATTTCTCCGTCGTAAAGGAACCCTCTTCCCTTTGTAATAAGATGTCTGTGGGGCGACGCGGACACAACGTGAACATCTCATTTCTTAAGTTTCACTCAGTGGTTTTAGCACACCAGGGTGATTCTTGCCTGAGTCACTTCTTATTGGGGTGGATTAAATGGCGATTTCCTATTTCTGTTATTCTTTCTACAATTATTTGGCTTCTTTTGGAAAGAAGTTCCTTTTTTAGTACCATCTGGATTCATGGCTTCTACACAAATCACTTCCAGTCCATTCCTGTCATTATTCATTTTGATGCTCAAATTGTCCCAAATTTGGCCAGTTGAAGCCCCTTCAAACTTGCTCCTGTCTTTTTTAAGTTTTTATTTGGAAATAATTTCAAATTTACATAAAATTGCAAGGATGAGAATAGTACAAAGGACACTCATATATCCTCTACTCAGATTTACTTAACACTTTCTGCTGTTTGCATTCTTTCTCTCTCTGTATACGCACACACGCATTTTTTTCTGGACTGTTTAAGAGTAGGTTGCATACATCATCACCTTTGCCCCTAAATACTACAGTGTATGTTTCCTAAGAATAGGAATATTCTCTTACAAAACCGAAGTATAATACTCATCTTTTTATCTAATCTGTCATCCATATTTTAGTTTTGTTAGTTGATTTAGTAATGCCCTGTATAGTTTTTCATTCTAGTATAGGATCCAGTTCAGGATCAGGTATTGGCTTTAGGTACCAAGTCTTTCTAAATTTCTTTCTTCTGGAATATTTTCACAGCCGTTATCTTTTATGACATAGACATTTTTGAAGAAGTCTCTTTCCTTCCTCTGCCCTGCCCTTTTAGAAGTGTTTTTTCATTTGGGGCTTTTCTGATGTTTCCTGATGGTTGGGTTCAGGTTATGCATTTCAGGCCAGGGATGGTGCATAATTGATGTGTCTCAGGGCATCACATCTGGAGGCATACGATGTCCATCGGCCCTCAATGGTGATGTTATTTTTGATTTGATAAGCGAAAAAAAATTGTAAGACCATGCACATATCTTGCTTCTCGTTAACACTTCTCCCTAGATTTAGCCTCCATCTGTGGGTGGTTCTTGTCTGAACCAGTCTTTAGTATGATGGTTGCAAAACTTGTTTTCTAACTTCATTGTTCCCTCTGCATTTAACCTTTGGGAAGTTAGCGTTCTTCAATATCCTTTTCCCCCATTTGTTTAGTATTGGTATGCATGAATTCATTCCTGTTCTTCTCAATGGCTTTTGGTTCATTTCTGTCCTTAATTATTTTGGCACTCAACTTGCCTCATATTTGGGCCAACAGGAATTTCTTCAAGCTACCTCTGATGGCTTTTTGACATGTCATTCATTGAGCACTCCTTTCTGCTTTCTAGCACAAACACACGTATGTCTATATTTTTGTCTTCATATATATATATATATGTAAATTAAAACCTTGAGTTCACACTGATATACCCAGTTCTAACCCCAAATTTTAGGGTTTCTTCTAGTTTTCTCCCTTTCCTTATTTGTAACTCTCTTCCCTGACAGAAACCTGATTCCCATGATGTTTAGTGTAGTTATGTGCTGAGTGCCCCTGGATGCGACTGATTTCCCATCAGGTCGCTGCCTCCTCTGCAGGGACACCCTTTTTACCCTTCTTGGGCTCCCCGTGCCTACCACGGGTGCCTGCTTTATTATGGCTTTAGGACTGGATTGTTTAGGAAGGGAAAGAAGGGCAAGAAAATGACAAACATCAGTGTTTTTAATAATTCCTTTCTAGCACAAGTTTTTCCAGGAGTGTCTAAAATAGTAAAGATTTGGCTTTACTCTTGACTAACTGAAGGATGGGAAGAAAAAGAGATAAAGTCTGTACAAAACCTATGTTCATTTATGACCAGCTATGGCTAGTGAGCTAGATTTTTTAGAGCATTCTTTTAGTGTTAAGAAAATAATTTTCTTCTCTCTCTTGCTAAGTTTGCAAAATGCTCACATTCGGCAGTGGTTAGCTTAGCAGTGACTGAGATGCAGTCAGATTTTGAGAGATGTTCTCAGTGGGGCAGTTGTGGTCAGGATACCTTACATCTGAACAAAATTGAAAAGTAGGTATTAGAACTCAAACAGGAGACATCTTCCTGTCATTATCTGAAACCATGAGGCATCTGTGCAGTTCTGGTCAGCGTATCATTTATGGCTTATTTAGAACATGTCCTAAGGTAAAATAAAACAATAAAAGGCATTCCAGATATGTCTAGAAAAATTAGAGTTCTTCAGAATACGAGAGGCTATAGGAATAAAGACTAGAGTTTGGATAAACGTCATTTTCCCCCTAGGTTGGAAACTGTCTAGAGGTGTACACATGAAAATAAAAGATAAAGTGCTTTTCGTACTGGAGGGATGAACAGGCAGCACGCTCAGTGACTGAGAACAGGGACCTGAGCTCCACTGTGCCTGTGACACCAACTGCTTGACCTTAGGCACAACTTAAGTAACTTCTCTGTGCCTTAGTTTTCTCGCCTGTCATTGTACTTATCTCAGAGTTGTGAGGATTAACTGTGTTTATATACAAAGTGCTTAGTACAGTGCCTGACACATACCCTAGTGTGTGTGTTTATCCTCTTGATGTAATACAGGCTGAAAATACAAAGACTCAAGCAGCATTTGGTACTACTCATCATAGATCTAAAATGGATAAAAGAAAACGTGTGATTACTTGGTATACATTGATTTTTATGGTTGAGATTATAGAAGTAATTGTCATACTCTCCCTTAGGTAGTCAAAGACAGTGCTGGGCTCCATGGATCACTGGTCAGAATAGAAAAATGTAAATAATTAGTGTTGCTTTTTACTCAAACTAGAAACTGAGAAGTTATTAGCTTGTTAATTTCCAATTAACACTAAGGATTTGGTTTCTTCAGATAATATGCAATGTGAAGTTTTAAAATGTGATTACTCAGTTGCTTTTCAAAGCATCCAACATAATTCTCTTCTTTGTAAGATGCTATTTTAACATGATGTAGTGGGAAAAGTTCTAAACATTGGAAATGAATGGCCTGGGTTCACATTCTATTTCTGCTCAGTTTCCCTTGCTACAAAATAAAAGGAAGTAAAATAAAACTCTGGTTCTTTCCAGCTCTTAGTAGTAGGTGAGTCTTATATTTAGGTTGTGCCTTGCAATAATCATTAGCACCCCCTCTCCTAGAAGAGTGCTCCCATTTTATAGGATAAGGAATAGACTTAAGGGCAGTTGCACAAGCACTTTTTCTAAGATGAAACATCAGTACAGTTAAGAGTACTTGGCTTTCTAGTTTTCTTGCAAGCAAAGCTTTACTTGCCTCTTGTAGAAGTACTTCCTGACTTATTTGGAACTTAAAAATGCTCCTTGTCTTCAGTCATCCAGCTGACTCCCCTCTCCTCCTGTGGCATCCCGTTTTCCATGGTCAGCTGCTGGAACAAACCCTGTTCTTTTACTCATGTGAACTTGGCTTTTCGCTATCCCTCTAACTCACATACCCAATATTTCTGAATCCCCCATTTCACACGACTCCAACAATTGACATGAATGATGTCACAGGCCAAACTGGTAAGGTAAGAAAGTACGCTCGCCAAGTATGTATAATCAGTTTTGATTTGTTATAAAATTAAGGTATAAACCATATTTGGTTTAAACACACAACACACACAGCTGAAAGGCTGATGGATTTTTGGATTCAGCCAAATAGCACCACTGAAACTGGCTTTTATTTTTTTTCTTAGAATTACGGCGAGCAGTCAGAAGCAGTGTGTGGAAAAGGGAAACAGTTGCTCATCAACATGAGTACGGACCAGAAGAAAACATAGAAGATGACATGTATCGGAAGACTTGTACTGTGTGTGGCCATGAACTGACATATGAGAAAATGTGACTTTTACTTAAGCGATCTGTTTTACAGTGTTTTGTATTTAAATAAGGGAAGTTTAGATTGGTCCTGTTCAAAGTTAACCAAAATGTAACATGTCCATAGATGAATGAAACCCTTGTATAAATAATGCTTCAGTAATATCTATGTGGTGGCTTGGGAGCAAGTTTAAGTCCGGCAGGTCAGGTGTGGATAAAATACTGGGTCTGTGATCGTTTTTTTTTCTACAACAGGGATGGAAGCTGAGTGGTAGAGTAGGTTCAAAAGTGTTAGGTCAGAGCCAAAGTTGAGAACTAAGAAACCAAGGCAAACCCTACACTGAGGCAGGAGGAAGAGCTTGTAATCAAGGCAAAAGCTGGCTGAACTGGATTCTCACCCCAAGAACCAACAGGGATGGTGGCAGACCACTGCACCCCAGGGGCTGGGCCACGTCTCCAAGTCAGGGAGCTACTGCTGGGACAAATCCTGACCAACAGTAGGACTAAACAATGAGCTGTGGGAGCCTGACCCTAACATTAATGTCTAGATAGCTCTCTTCAAAGACGGATTCAAGTGGAAACCAGCTATACTGTTTGTGGATCAAAGGTGCTGACAGTAGGTTTATCATAACCTGCTGTCGTTTCCTGAGCACTTACCTTGTGCCAGGCGAGCACTGTGCTGAGTGCCTTCCAGGTATTCTCATTTAATCCTGGGAGGGAGGGCCACTCGCTTCTGTGCTTATTTAGCACTTCTAAAGGAAGTGAGAACCTACAACCTGACATCATCCAGACATCTGGATCAAATTGAGCTAGCCAAATTTTCCCCTATCTTGTCAAAAGGATCACAAGGTAGTCACAGCTAGTAAGAGGATTTGATCCCATGAGCTTGATTATAGGGTCTATGCATTTTTTTTTGGACAAAAACAAATTCAAGTTAAAGTGGATATTTTCAAGTTGTTCTTTGACATGACTTCTTATCCTACTGCTACAAATAGAAGAAAGAGGAAGTGTATACATTTTTCTTTCTAGATCGATCAGCTCTTGGAGTTTATGCTTGAAGAAAGGTGAACGTCAAAACAAGTCAAACCCAAATAGGCTTGAGACTATAATTACTAATTGTTCTCTGTAGGAGTATTCAATACAGAAATGCTTAATCTATTTATCGTGTGTTGGTTTATTTAATGTGCTATGCTCAATACTGCAGCTCAGTAAAAACTGATCGGAATGGGCAGCACCACCTTCCTGGGACAAAAAAAAGCTTCCAGCTTGGTGATAACAGAGTAACTAGGGGTTCAGCTGCTGACAACAGCATTACTGCACTGGGAGATAACGAGCCCTTGAGCCACATGGATCTAGGTTCAAATTCCACTTCCTAGCTGTGGACCTTGGGTGAGTTACTCCATGGGCCTGTTTCATCTGTCAGATGTGCATAATAATCCATTTCTCAAAGGACTGTTGTGAGAATTAAGTACGGTGAATTTGTAGCAGCTGGCATGTAACAGCCACTCGATAGCATGTTATTATCCAGATCACTATAGTTACAGACTTGCCTAGCTGACATATGCTTCTCTTCACTCTTCACCGTCATCAATTTGAGACAGTCCTGGTACCCAGATATCACTGACAGCCAAATCTGCTCTACCCTCTTTCCTCATCCTTCATTTTCAGGTATAATTATAGATTAGTAAGTTATACAAATCACTACTAAATACTTTCCAGGAAAAGCAAGCAAACTTATCTTCATGTGAACTGCTGTCTGAAGAATTCCTGGAAGGGAGATTTAGGATCAAGGAAAACAAAGTATATGTTCACTTTGACAAAAGCAAGTTAAATGGCATCAGTACTGTTTAAGAGAATATAGCTTTATTGTAAGGTATGATGTACAGTGACATGCCATTCTTTTGTCTGTGTGAGCTTCATTAGTGGGAACTCAACTGTTGAATGTTTGCTCTTGCACCTCTATTTCTTTGACATTCCACCTCTAGTTCAGTTTTCCCTTATACCTAGCTGTCAGACTGGGACAAGGCAGGGTCACATCTGTGAACAGTCGTTAGAAGCAACCATTTACACGTGAAGAGAAGATCCAAGAGAAGGGAAGTGAAAACCTAGAAATTCTTCTAGGATTTGGATCAAGTGTAACTAGCCAAACTTTGCAATACATTGTGAAAGATTACAAAGTTTAGAGTCAAAGTTACTAAAGCCTTAACTGGTTAGCCTTTGGCTTCTTGAGGACAGGAGCCATTTCTAACTAATTACATAGTTTGTGGGAAAGAGACACAATAAACAAAAGAATATTTAGCCAAGAACCTGGGTGACTAGTCCCCTTTCTGCTAGTAACTTGTCATGCAACCTTAACCTTGTGAATAATTACTTCTTGGCTTAAATGGTATGGTATTTAAAAATCTATTCCCATCTATCGAGTAGACTATATTCTGCAGCCACTAAATGTACAGTAAACCAGAGACCACATATCAATATGGGAAATGCTGAATGCATTATAAACTTAGGATGTGTTAAGTTCAAAAGAGATACTTATGTTATACAAATGCACAAAAACACCACCAGTTGTGGGATTACTGGTAAACTTGTTTTCTAAAGTTTAATGAAAAAAGTCTAAAACTGCTAGAAATTTGGAATGTCAGATAATCCCTTATACCTGTATATTATCTTACAATGTACTCTCATTTATTATCTTAGTTATGCCTCAACACCATACAGGAAACAGGCTCAGGAATTAGTAGTTACTTGGACCAGCTTCCAGAGAAACAAAATCCAAACCTACATCCAATTCCAAATATAGTTTTGGCCAATCTAGCTACTTCTGGTTCCACTTTAACATGTAACTCACTATATGACCTTGGACAAATGTGTCTCAGAGACTAGAGGCAATGACCAGATGCTCTAAGATAATGGTTCCCAAACTCATCTGCACACTGGAATCAACTGGGGAGCCTTAAGAACTACCCATCACGTCTGTCCCCTGGACTGTAGTCCCCCAAGGACTGTAGTTTAATTAGAAAAATAACTTTAAATTTAGATTCCCAGGTGATTTATGTTCAGACAAATTTGGGAACTGCTATTCTAAATAGTAACACTCTTATAATAACAAGTAGTGTTAAAATACTACACTTAAAAATATTTTGAAGAGAAAATTTCAAATGGAGGTAAGTACACCTTCAGTAAGAAATCACCAACTTTAAAGTAGACTGAGATGATAAATCATGAAATACCAAAGTTTACAAAACATATTTTTAGTTTTATTTCAGCCATGTTAGGTTACCCATGAGCTGTGAAGAGCTATGCTACTTGATAAGAAACCCATCAGTTCTATTTACTACTTTGTAAGCTTGACCTCTAGTGTTTCACAAACCTCAAATCAGTTATCTTTTGTGCCTTAAGGAGAAAAAATAGCAATCAGAAAAGTTGTATCTGTCACATATATAGTACATCCTATGGTCACTGTCACATTATTGTCATTAGGGAATATTTGCTAAAGATAATCAAAGCCATATTCTTTACTGTCCTCCCCGTTTCCTTTGATAAGTGAAAGGATGCTACAAGCAAGCAAGCATTCAAACCATCAAAAATAAGACAAGTTATTTTGAGATTTTTAAAAAAATCTTGACATGAGGGGAAAAAAGCAACCCTTAGGCCTGCAGGGCACAGAACTGCTGGAACACAGCCAGGATATGAGGGTCTAACTCGGCAGTGAAGAGCAGGTTCTCCAGGGTCACCATGTACTGCTGGATTATCTGGTGATGCTGCGGACACAGAAAAGGGGTGTTTAGGTCAGGGAAAAAGCTCAGAAGCAATCCTGCAGAACACTTCCCTCAGCAGCCCTCCCACGCTGTGGAGTAGGGGAATAAGGGCTCTGCTGATAGGGATAATGGGCCCCTGAAAAGCTCCAACGTGAAGACAACGTAGAGGGAAATGAGAAAAAAAGGATGTTTTTTAATATCAATAACTTTTCAAACTCCTATTCTGACCAGCTTCCATGTAAACGCAGTTAGTGCTGTGAGGCAGTGGCCGCAGTGTCTGGTGCTACTACGGTTACAGACTAGGTTCAGCGGGGTCGCCCCCTCATCAGGACAGAGCACAGTATGACTTTTTAAAGGTCGCCTAGACAGGGACTGACCCAGGAGACTGGAAGAAAGACAGGGAAGGTCCCATGTTACAAATAAGAACAGCAAGATTGCTACTGCTCAGGTTAAAACCACAGTCTGGGAAACACAAAAAAATATTTTGGAATCCTTTCCTTATTTTGGTTAGAACACAGCTCTTAGCAAAAGAAAAAAAATTTTAACAGATCATTGGCTAATTCTCTATTAAGTATTCCACAAAATGAGAAAACCAAACCTCATTTTTGTTTATCTTTTAAAAATAAATAGCTCATCTGTCATGAAAATCAGTGACTTGTTGAGCCTAAATGGAAAAAAAAAGTCAGGAAATGAAATAATCTTTGTGTGCCTATATAACTTGAATATACTCAGAGATCCCTATAGGACTAGGGGCTGTTAAAGCTTTTTAATTGGCAATAAGTAAAACATCTAGAGAGAATTTTTATTTGGAGGTTTAAAGAACTTCTTTTCCCCCCCTTTTAGGACTCTGCTTTAATCACTCTTTTCTAGAACAAATGAGGATGGGGTGTTAGTGTCTGAAGATACTAGTTCCACTCTTCTACAAATCTTTAACTTCAATCTAGCATAGAGTAGGTATTACATTTTGCTTTCTGGTTTTTTTTTTTTTTTTTTTTTTTTTTTTGAGGAAGATTAGCCCTGAGCTAACATCCACGACCAATCCTCCTCTTTTGGCTGAGGAAGACTGGCCCTGAGCTGCCATCCATGCCTATCTTCCTCTACTTTATATGTGGGATGCCTGCCACAGCACGGCTTGATGAGTGGTGTGTAGATCCACGCCCAGGATCCAAACTGGCAAACCCTGGGCCACTGAAGCAGAGCAGGTAAACTTAACCGCTGTGCCACTGGGCTGGTCCCTGCATTTTGCTTTCTATAAAGACCTCAGGGAACTTAACCTTGTTTCTGCGGGCATTTTTTATCATCTGAACGTTAGATTTAAACTGGACCTTTATAAGTTGAATTACTGCTCCCTTAGCATCTTTTTCTCTGTATTTTGTATTACAGCTAGGATCTCTAGCAAAGAGAATGGCAATTAGGAGTCTAAGTGATACAGAACCAATTTAAGCCTAAATATTCTGATGAGCAACAGTGGGAGCGAATGGACATGAATTAAAGGGCTTACAGGTACTACACAACTTCCTGACAAACTTGACGATTTTTTAAGAAGGAAAATCCTTATAGCTGAGAACACTGATGTCTACTATCTAATGAGTTTCCCACAAACCTGTAAGAAAATCTGCTGGAGCCTCTCTACACAGTTCTTGTACCACGGTGTTAACACGCTGGTCCCGTCGCTTTCACATCGCACTAAGTGCTCGGTCAAGATCATGATAAAGCGCTGGAAAGGGGGTATGAAGTTAGAGGTGTTAGAGGGAGAATTCTTATACTTCGGAAACAGTCGCATTGTTGACGAAGAGACGTCAAAGGTATTGCTTGTTCCACCCTTTCTTTGAGGCATGTATTCCAAACTCTCATAATTCAATAAATATTGTCAGTCTAGAAAGGTAAGCCAGCAATAACAGTACATCCTTTCTGGCAATACATGAAGACCTTTAATGTCTAGATTACTTATGCTGGTAATTTTTCTTGTTAGCATCTATTCTAAGGACATAATCAGAAATGCTAACAAGAATCTCTGCACAAGAATGTTTATCAGGAAGGGAAACAAAGCAGCTAAATGATCAACATTTGGGAATGATGAAATGTGAGAGGGGTACTTAACAAAAGCATGCCCAGGATTTTAGAGCATGGAGAAACGCTCATGCAAGAATGCTAAGTAAACGACACAGAACGTGGAGGCACATGTGGTTACCTCCAAGCAGCGAACTTTCAGTTCCTTTAAGTTTTTCTATTTTTAAACTTTTATAAGTGAGTATGTATTAACTTTTATGATTAAAAACATTTTTTAAAACTAAAGAAATGTATTGTTTCTTTTTACATATCAACGTCCTAAGCCAAGATACCTGGAATATGACAAGGAAGAGGTTCTTCTGTTCACTCTGAGCAGATTCCACCTTCTCC